TGCCAGCTTTCTTGTTATCTTTGTTAACCGTTCTTTGGGGAATAATGCTGCTTTAGGCCCAGTCCAAAGGTTGTTTTGCCTGTTTCCATATTCCCAAGGTCTGAGGAGTAAGAATGCAAGGCACTTCCTCTGAGATGGCAGCCCCGGTTCCATTTTAAAGGTTCTGTTTGCGCACTTTTCCTACTGTTTGATGACTTGTTTTCTTTTTGTTGTGAATGCATTTACATAACAGATGGAGACATGCTTGAACTGGACACTAGGATTTTTTTCCCCTTTCTTTCTGGATACTAGTATTTTTAATTTGTCTAAAAATTCTCCTTTCTGGCTAAAAGCCTGAATAGCCTTAAATGCTTTTACTTTCTTCATTTGCTTTAACAATGGGAGCCATTGATGCAAGGGGATGAACAGTATTCCTCCCATCCCACCCCAACCCCGCCCCCCAGTAGGGCTATTTTTTACAATCTCATAAGTGCTGACTGACTGTATAAACCATGACAAAGATGGGCAAACCTTACGTTTTGAAGTATAAGACCCCATGTGCTAGTATTGAAGTACATCGGCGGTTCTTAGTGCTCCTAGCTAGCATCAGTATCTTGTGCGAATTTGTAAGATACACAAATTCTCTAGCTCTACTCAAGATTTACTGAATCCAAAGCCGCCCTGGGCGGGGCCCAGCTCTCTGCTTCACCCTGCCCTCTGTGTGATTCTGATGCTTGCTAAAGTTGGAGAACCACTGAAGCAAACAATTCAAATCCTTACCTCCAGCAAAACGACAAATTTTACAAGTCACACAACTTCAGGAAGATTGCTGACAAAGAGTCAAAAATGGGTCAGCCAAGCAATGACTGTGTAAAGAGAGAAAGCTGATAAGGGTTTAGAAAAATGGGCACTTTCGTTTCCTCAGTTGGAGGCGGTTTACAGTAGCTAAATAAATTATAGTGACGGCTAAATGATGGGGCATTTGAATAACAAGATATTGTACAGCCCGGCCAATGTGGTTCCGTAGTTGAGTGTCAACCTATGAACCAAGAGGTCACCAGTTTGATTCCCGGTCAGGGCACATGCCCCAGTAGGGGTTGTGCAGGAGGCAGCCAATCAATGATTCTCATCATTGAGGTTTCTATTTCCCCCAAAGAGTAAATCTGCATGAATTAACATTTTTAAAGGTTCAAAAGATAGTAACTAGAGGAAAAAAACAAAGTGTAGAACAGTTATGGTCCCAAAAGAGACAGCACCCAATGAATGACATGTGATCGTATGTCATTGGAAATTTGGGGTGGACCACACAAGAAGCTCTTTATAGTTTTTTCCTTTAACACAAGCTTATTAACCCCTTCCCCGGCAGAAACGTGTATACTCGTTTCCACAAAATGTTCTTTTCCAGTCGTCGACGAGTATACTAAGAAAATATGGTAAAAAAATATGGTTTATAGGAAGACGAGTTACAAACTGTTTTCATAACCAGCATCAAAAATACTATATAGAACCAAAATAAAAAAATTAGTCTGAAAAAGAAACGTTTTTAACAAAAAAATTGTTGGGGAAGGGGTTAACATGATATGTCAACTGTAAAGAATTTTCTTAAGACTGTTTTTGAGCCTAAACTGAATTAAGGAAGAAATGTAAAGAAAATTACATGAGGGTGGGAGAAAGGGAGGCAAGGAGGAGATTACAGAAGAGTTAACAAAAGTATGTGCTCTCTAGTCCAGAGGGCGAGTATGCTTCTTCCCAAGGTTCTTCAACTTCGGGCAAAGATAAACCTCTTACTAGGCAAGGTATACGCCTGGAGTGTGACTACCCACCATGGCCTGCGCAGTCAGGAATTTGTGCTCAGATCATCCTGGGAGGTTATTTTCCATAGAACCCCCTATTTTGTCCACATATATATGGGAGATATCTGTGGGAAAATGAGTAACTCTTAGGTGGCTTAGAAGTATGCCATCTACAGTTAAGACAAAAGAGAGAAGGGTATGGGGGAGGCCTGTTATGAAGTAGGGGGGATGAAAAGTATGGTGAAGTGAGTACAGTCCATATGCAGATTTAGGTCAGCGCTTCCGCACTGATAATGTGGAATCATGTCCATATAGCCCTATTTCGTTTGCTTTTAAAATAACTCAGGCATCACAATATGTAGAGCTATTGAGTTAAGAGGCATATAAATAACCCTGAATCCTATTTTAACCCTTATTTTCCTTTAAGTAGAGGTTATACTTCATATCTTTGGTATAATAATTAATTTGAAATCTAATTACCATGGTAGGTTTTCCCCCTTGAAATGGCAATCTGGGAAAGCTATACAATTCTGTGTTTTTGTCAGCAGGTGGCAGAGTTCTCTCTTTGCTATGTATGGCACAGGGCTACATTCCTACGTTAACTTTCTTGTTTATGCACTTCTGTTTACTCTCTTGGTGTTGCTTCAACCTATCTATCTGTACAATATAAACCACCTGGCAAGGAGACAATTCTGAGATGTCCTAAATTAAATTACAGCAGGCCAGAGACCAAAAAGGGGTTATCAGTTCACAACTGCAGGGCAACACCAACAAAACACTGCCTACACTCCTGAGTGTACGTTGGAATTTTGGATTATTTTCACGTGGCTATTTCACGAATGTCTAAAAGAGAAAATAGCCAGTGCTGTCAAGCCCAAGGAGCCTCTGCTTCTCGAATTTTCCACTCTCCTGCCCACGGCTAATCCAAGTAGCAACACTTCTTCTTACGAATTTACATGCCTATCTCAGAACTAGCCCGTACTGTGCTTCACTACCAATGGCCTAATAAACCCTTTCTTTGAAAAGGAATTTCAGCTGTGGAAATTAAAATTTTGCTTTAATGTCATACTTGCGTTAAAGTCAGTGCTGTTTATCAATTCCTTACATGTTGTTTGTCTTCCTCATTTTTCAAGGTCCTAGTCATGACAAGATTGCTTAGGATTGCTTAAATTGTTTGGCAACTTCCCGCTGATAAGTACATGGAAGTAGACAAAGTCACGTGTGGGTTCCCGTCCTTCCTGCCCCCATTTTATCTGCTCGGCAGACTCATCTTGGACAGTCCTCTCGTTTGTCTCACACCAAGTGCCCCAGTTAGGGTCTGAGTTCAGAGTCTTGTCATTTAAAAAAAAAATCATCTATTCTTATACAGTTTCCCCCCAAGAGCAATTTGTCAGTTTATCCAGATTTCTCTGTCAAACCATTAGGGCTCTAAGGGAATGAGACCCTGGATTGATTCGGGTGGAGGGGGACGGGGAAAGTCAGAGAACCTCAGCATTATAGAATAATGAAGTGTTAGAAACTAGAAACCCACTAGGTTATCTTAAGAAAAAACTGGGCCACACTGGGATTAGGACTAAATAGCCAGGTGCTGTCAAGCCCAAGGAGCCTCTGCTTCTCAAATTTTCCACTCTCCTGCCCACGGCTAATACAAGTAGCAACACCACTTCTTACGAATTTACGTGCCTATCTCAGAACTAGCCCGTACTGTGCTTCATCTTCCTCCATCCCCTTTTTGTCCATAGCTAATGTGAATTGTTTCAGAACGACTTACCTGTTGTATAAAAACTTCTGCCAATGCCTGGATGATGGACATGCTCACCTTCCCTCACCCCCACCCTCCACCCCCCGGAAGGGAGAGAGATAGAGAGCTAGAAACTTCGATGAGAGAGAAACATCGACCAGCTGCCTCCTGCACATCTCCCACCGGGGATGTGCCCGCAACCCAAGTACATGCCCTAGACCGGAATCGAACCCGGGACCTTTCAGTCCACAGGCCGACGCTCTATCCACTGAGCCAAACCGGTCTTGGCGAGAGTCTTGTCATTTTTAAAAAAAATCATCTATTCTTATACAGTTTCCCCCCAAGAGCAATTTGTCAGTTTATCCAGATTTCTCTGTCAAACCATTAGGGCTCTAAGGGAATGAGACCCTGGATTGATTCGGGTGGAGGGGGACGGGGAAAGTCAGAGAACCTCAGCATTATAGAATAATGAAGTGTTAGAAACTAGAAACCCACTAGGTTATCTTAAGAAAAAACTGGGCCACACTGGGATTAGGACTAGAAAACAATTACAAGTGGGTTCCCATTTTAATTTGGCCTATTATCCAGGAACCAGGAAATGGGAAGTAGAATTTTGGGCCAACTACACAGCCCAGCTGGCCGGTGTTGTGCTCTTCTATGAATGTGCCTGGGAACTGGCCAGGCTCCGCAGTGCCCGACTCCCGCTCTCTGAAGCTGGTTGGTGAAGCGGACTTCCCAACAGGGATGAGAATCCCTTCTCCAGTGAAGTGTTTTTGTGTTGCTCTCTTTAAACACTTTGTCTTTCCCGGCTAATGAAATACTTGACTCTCTTTTGTCTTTTGTGCATCCCCTCTAATACACTGACAACAAAAACAGATCATGTGCTTCACTGTAGATTTCCAAAAAGTTACTCACGGGTCCACACTCGTGGATTTCCAGTCCTGTGACTCAGCTTTGGGGAAGTTTTAGTAATTAAGGACTCAAAAACTAACTAACAACAACAACAAAAAAAACTAACTACATAAATAAATAAATAAATATAATTAAGGGCTCGTGAGTACCTGAATTAAGATCCAGCTTTTTGTAGGGAATTTGCCTGTTTTATTTATGTATATTAAGCTCCATCTCCCCTTTGATTCTCTTTTTATTTCTGATGTAAAAATAAATAAATCTAGATAAGGAAAAAGAGGCTACCTGCAATTTTACCACCTTAAAAAAACAAACAAAATAAAAGAAAAAAACATTTTAATATTTGTACTTACTTTCTTTTCTACGTATATAAATATTAAGTATTATTTTCCCCAAAAGGAGATCATATTCTGACATTGTTTTTAACAAGATTATTCACTTACTAATTTGTTTCTCAGTAATAAATTTATACTTATTTTAATAACTATTATGTTACCTTAGGTTATTTACCATATATGGATATCACAACTTATTTTGTTTTTGTTTGTTTTTTTACTTTTGATCACAACTTATTTAGCCAGTGTCTTCATCGTGCAACATGGTTTTCATTATGAGACATGCTGGGTCCATGAATAGTCTTACGGCAGCTGTGCGTGCCTGTGGCTGTTGGCCTGGAATTACCGGGTCAGGAGTGTGTGCACATCTAAGGAATGTGCCGCCAGGTTACACTGCGGGAAGGCGGCCCCATTCACATTGCCACCAGCCTGTGTTCGAGTGCCTCGCTCCCTGTTTTCCTGGGAACAGGCATCACTTCTTCCTCCTCTTTCCAACCGATCGTTACTTCTAAGATGTCAGTTACTTTTGAAGTTGAGCTTTTAAAAAGACTTGGCCATTTATTTTCTTCTTTCTTGAACCATAGGAGTTCTTGGTGTGATTTGCAAAGGCTCTTTATAAGGTGACTAACCACGAGAGCATGGCAGAAACGCGCTTTCCGGGGGTTTTCTGTTTGCACTCCCGTTTTTGAGCAATCTGAACGTGACCCTCCTTTTCAAGCCTTGACAGTGTGTCTTCGGAATGTTGTGCACTTGGCTCCTCGTTTACACATCGTGACTTCATTCTGTAGCCAGATGGGAGGGGAATATAGCATATTGTTTGAATGGTTTGTGTAAGTTACTCATTGGTTTACCCTCCCAGATATAGAACGAGAAAGGCAACTACAGGAAAAAAAAAGGCAGGTATGAGTTTGTAGATAATTTTTGTTTTATGGTCATAAGCATGACTTAACATATGCCATGTTCATTTCTTCCAAAGATGCAGTAGCATTATATATGTTCACTTTCTTATATTTTGAGACATGTTTCTTTTAAAAGTTGATTTTATTTTTTAAAATAAATTTTTATTGATGTCAGAGAGGAAGGGAGAGGGAGAGATAGAAACATCCATGATGAGAGGGAATCATTGATTGGCTGCCTCCTGCATGCCCCCTACTGGGATCCAGCCCACAACTGGGGCATGTGCCCTTGGCTGGAATCGAACTCCAGACTCTTCAGACCACAGGCTGATGCTCTATCTACTGAGCAAAACCAGCTAGGGCTAAAAATTGATTCTAGAGAGTGAGAGAGACAGAGAAACATTGATGTGTGAGAGAAACATTGTAGTTGCCACCCACATATGCGGCCCATCCAGGACCAAACTGCAACCTAGGTTTGTACCCTGACCAGGACTTGAACTGGGATCCTTCCATGCATGGGACAACGCACAGCCAACTGAGCCACACCAGCCACAGCGGAGCATGCAATTTTAATTTAAAAAATAATCTTTATTTTCTTCTGGGTGTGTGATATAATCATTACAGAAAACACCAAAAAATATGAAGAAAATGCAATCACTTGTGACCCTATCCTTCCTCTGTAATGCTTGTTGATTCTTAGAATATATTTGATATAAAAAAGTATATTCTTTAGGTTCTTTTAAAACCTATGAGCATTTTCAAAACCTTATGATTTTTAAAACTTAAGTTATCACCCATGCTCTTCCATATAATTCTTTGCTATATTTTCTTACATCATCAGTAGCAGCAGCAGCATCATTAGTTTATACTCACCGGAGGATATTTTTTCCATTTTCCATTGATTTTAGAGAGAGTGGAAGGGAAGGGGGAGAGAGGCACACACACACACACACACACACACACCTGATTGCCTTTCGCATGTGCACAGAATGGAGCCGGGGCAGAACCTGCAACCCAGTTACATGCCCTTGATGGGGAACTGAACCCAGGACCCTTGGGTGTGCAAGCCAGCACTCTATCCACTGAGCAACACTGGCCATGGCTTACCTTATTATTTTTTAAATGAGTTTATCTAGCAAAAAGGGGGTAGTAAGTTAAGTCTTGTACTCTACATTTAAATGTATTGGATATACCATACTAATACTGAAAAAAAAAAGCTTAAGTAGAATAACCTTTTGCCATTTTTAATATAACCCATATCAAAATAGCAATCCTAAACAATACTATTTCTTTTCAACAGACAGAATACCAACTGTGTGATGTGGAAAGAGTCCAAAATTAAACAAAGTTTTTCATCTTGTTCCATTCCAGGCACAAAGATTCAGATATAAAATGGAAACAATTTCAGTACTAAGAACACAGTGCTTTTGAGGAAAGGAGAGCTAAGAAAGACTCCCTGCATTGATGATTACTGTCTTACATCCAGTTTTCTTGAACTTGACCTTCCTATTGCCACAATGTCATTTACTTCTGGAGTTTAGATTCCAGAATTTATTACTTTTAAAAAGAAAATAAAAATTACATAGACTACATTCAAGAACTTTATTTGCAAAAAAAGAATTTTATTTGAGTTTCTGAAAATTAAATTAGTTCATCTTAGATTTCCGCATGGAGTTTTTAAGAAACGCATTGATGTTAGAACCGTAGGCTCCCTCAGTTTGTCCATGTGCGTCAACTCACAAATGCACAGTCAAGGTCAGCAGCAGTCACCCAGTCAGAAGACGTTTTGGGAGTGATTTTCCATGAGAAAAACTTATGAGAAAGTCTTTCTTTGTTGTCTATTTTCCTAAAATGTAATATTTTATTGTCTCATCTTTGTTTTTGCTCCTTAAACATTTTAAACCACATTCACATAAGCATCTAGAGCAGCTTGTTTTAATTCTGTTTTGAAGAGTCACCGTGTTGAAGGTAGTTGACTGGTCTCCTCAGAAGAGTTCTAGGAAAAGTCTGGTACCTAGACCGGTATTTTTTTGCTGTTGTGGTTTTGTGGTTTTGTTTTTCTTTTTTAGACTGGTGTTTTGCATATTTAAAAAAAACCAAACATCTTCCTATTGACATCATGCAGCAATTAGCAGGAACAACTTTTGCAAGAGTCCATATAGAGTATTGATCTCACCTCCTACTGAATTGTCTTCTTTATGTGGCTTTACTGTTTTGTTTGGAATAACTTCCTAGGGTGTCAGTCAAGTTCATATTGAAGTTTAAAAATACATTGGATGTAATGAATATCATAAACTGATGAACAGAAATAGATACAGAGACAAAGAAGCATCGAACAGACAGTCAAACTACAGTAGGAAGGCAGGGCAGGTTTGGGAGAGGGTAAGAGATCAACCGAAGGACTTGTATACATGCATATAAGGATAACCAATGGACACAGACACTGGTGGGATGGGGGGGGGGGAGGTGAGGGCATGTGCCAGGGGGGTAGGGGAGGCAGGGGGGAGGTCAATGGGAGAAAAAGGAGACATAGGTACTATTTGTAATACTTTAAACAATAAAAAAAAAAATACATTGGATGGCCGAATGATAATTGGATTATGGTAAACTGAATTACTAGTTAAATCTTAGATTGAATTATTGAGAAATAATACAGGTTTTACGTGGGGTTAGGAAATGATTTCTTTCACATATAACTTAATTAGTGTAATAACTTTATGCCATTTACTTCCCTATCCCAAGATTAAAGGCCAAACGAATCAAGCAGTGAATAACTAATTAAGGTTTAAATTGATAGATTTTATTTTCTCTGGGCTCTTTTGTTTTTTTCATATTTTCAAAAACTAGAGAAAGGTTTTGCTGGCAAAATACAAAGTGATTGCCTGTAGGTTTTTAAGTTGACTGAGAGTTGCCAGTCTCTAAAAGGTGACTGGTCTCTCACAAGTACAGATGGGTAGCCCTTTCTCCACTGATGAAAACAGTTTCAGTGTCACGAGGGGAGAAAAATCTTCCGACCCTTTGAGTCATGTAGAAGTCCTTTGGCCTGTCAAGTTCAGGTTAGAGTTTGCGTTAGGAGGGGTACAGAGTGGTTTCGGTTTTTATGACAATGAGTAAAGAAACTCCAAGGCAACAGGGCCCAGAGATGAAAGTCCACTCTGCTTCCCTCTGGGTCCTTTCTTTATATCCCTTCTAAAAAAAAGAAAAAGTACCTACAGCTATTTGAAGCAAAGTTCATTTTCTTTTGTTCAGTGTTTTGCCTCTATCCTTTTCTGTGGCACCATTTCCAAACGTGCTTTTTTTTTTTTTTTAGACACAAAAAACGTATTGTTATGCCATCAAATGTTCCCCCATTGCCACCTGTTTCATTCAGTTCTTGTCACCTCATTGTAGGCCTTTGAATAGGTTATATTTTTCTGTGTTTCTAGTTTCTTTTTTTTCTTTTAAATTTCTTTATTGGTTAAGGTATCCAAACATTCTTATTTGTAAACATAGCCAGCCCTCTCGTGTAATTGTTAAATGTCTATTATTGCCTAGAAACAGCATATCATGTGGGAAATAAAAGTGTTACAGCTCTTGTACATAAGTTACATAAGTAATGAGTGACTTAACACCTCTCCAAACCTTAGATTCCTTATCTATCAAAAAGGGAGAATTATTACCTTTCTCTTAAGGCTATGCTCATTAAAATAAATGAGAGGGTGCGTGCTTCTGGGACTCTGACACCCAGGGAAAGAAAGTGCTAGAAGAATGTTGGTCCCCCCTGGGGGACAGTCCACCAGACATACCGTTGCACCCCCCTGCATGTACACTTACGGGGTGGAACTAGAAGGCAGCAGGCAGGAGGCAGCTCACACACCCCCTCTTCTCACTCTCCTTTGACTAGCAGGTGGAACCCCAGCAAAGCCAGAACCATCGTCTACCCTTAGGGACCACAATGGCCCTCCTGATAAGATAGTGGTCATCTTTCTTGTCTGTCTTTGTTTTATTTCAGAGTAAACTGGCTGAATTCCTTGTTTCTGTCCCTATTTTAGAAACATTGTTTTAAATAGTCTATCCATATGACGTTGGCTGGTTCTGAAGGTTGTGTGTGTGTGTGTGTGTGTGTGTGTGTTTTAGCTTTCTTTTTTTGATTATGGGCGTGATTGGTGCTACTACTGCAACATTTTTTATTTTCCAAGAAACTCGTTTATTCTATAAAGTTCAGAACATTAAAATGGCCTCTTGATCCCATCATTGTCTTGTGTTCTGTTTTTGACTTCCTAAGCTCATATAAAGATTTATCCCCCAAATTGGACTCTTGCTGTAGATCCTTGTGGCGTGTTTTTGATTAGTAGTAGGTCAGGCACACCTCAGCACGTCTGTAACTGCTGCCCTCACAGAGCAGTGCTGTCCAGTGGTTTACAGGTACAGGATCTGAAGTCAGACTGACCTGAGTTTGAATCCAGTTCTGCCACTTGCCAGCTGCAAGCCTTCCTTTAGTCACCTGTAAAATGAGGGTAATAATAGCCCCTCCTTCTAGGGTTATGAGTGTTAGATGAGATGAGGAATGTCAGGTGCTTAAGAAGTATCTGGCACATCATCAATGTACAATAAATTTTATCTATTTATAACAATTATTTTTAACAATTGTATCATTTTACATTTTATGTGTATACCACAATTTATTCAGCCCTCCTGTATTAATGAACATTTAGATATTGGTCATTTAGGTGTGTTTTTTTAAATATGTCTTTATTGATCTTAGGGGCGGGGAGAGAGAGAGAAGAGAGAACAATGATGTAAGAAAGAAACATCCATGGGCTGCCTTCCATAAACCTGCACCTTAGGTGTAGGCCCTGATTGGGAATCAAACCCTAGACCTTTTTGGTGCTCCAGTCGACACTCGACCACCTGAGCCACACCGGCCAGGGCAGTCATTTAGGTTGGTTAAGTTTCGAAGTTTTATAAAACAACTCTGCGATGTACATCTTTGCAACTAGGTATTTGTGAACTCTGCCTTATTTCCATAGGACACAAAACTGGTGTGTCAGAGAATGCATATGTTGAAAGCTTTTCATGGTGTTTCTAAATGCTGATGGAACTCTAACACCAGCATTCTTTGTTGTTGAAGATGATTTATCTGGTCATCTTTCAAAGGATAGCTTCAAAATTCTTATCATTGTTAATTATGTTAGTGTATGGGAAGAGTTAAGTAACCATATTTACCCATTAATTCAGAAGTATTTTCAAAATGAATCACCTCATTGCCCTTGAACCCCCATTACTAGAGTGTAAGAGGTTTCTTCTTTGTGAATCGTCTCCCCTTAGTAAAATAAGTTTTTAACATTTGGCAGAGACCAAGTTTGGATAGTTTGTTAGTGGCCTTTTTTAAAAGCAGTTGTTAAATTTTTAGGGTTTTTAAAAAATATATTCTTGTTGATTTCAGAGAGGAAGAGAGAGAGAGAGATCAATGATGAGAGAGAATCATTGAGAGAAAGAGAGAGAGACATCAATGATGAGAGAGAATCATTGATCCACTGCCTCCTGCAGGCCCCACACTAGGGATTGAGCCAGCAACCCTGGCATGTGCCCTGACCAGGAATCGAACTGTGATGTCCTGCCTCATAGGTGGATACTCAACCACTGAGCCACGCCGGGGGATGGGGGTAGGAGGGTGTTTTTAACAGAGAATGCTAACTTCACGAAGTTTGATTACAGAAATGTTGCGTGGGTTTGATTTCTCTTGAGCATGACCAGAAGGCTGATATAAAAATGTATTTACAGCTGCGTAGCGTAGCCCTGTTCCTCCTGATAAAGCCGCGCGCAGTCCGGGGCGTAATAATCAGGCCCCGACACATGGTGCTCGCACAGTGCAGTCCCTTGCTCAGGCTGTGAGCAAGCCCGCTTCTCTTTAAAAGTTAAAGATTTAATAAAACTTTAAAAATGTTTCCTTCACAACAGGAAAGGAACTTTGTTAAAAAAAAAAATTTAACCATAAAGATTAGTTTTCACTATTTGTATACAGATTTTTTTTTTTTTTTTTAGCAAATCTATGCAAGGTCTTGTTCACGCTTTCAAATAACATAGGAAAATGTGAAGAAAACCATAAGCAATTCCTTTAAATCCCACTGCCCTGCAGTAAAGACTATTCATATTCTTTTGACCATACATACCTGCACCATGGCTTTTTTCTGTGTGTCTTACATGAGCTCATCTTTTAAAAATGGCAAAACATACATAACAAACGTCTACCGTTTTCACTGGTTGTAACGCGGTGGCTTTAAGGAGTTTGCATTGTTGTGCAAACACAGCACCATCCACCTCTGCAAGTCCTTTCACCCTCCAAGTGGAAACAGTACCCACTGAGCAACACCCATCACCCCTTCCCCTCCCCTGCCCACCACGGCCTGACCTTTCTTTAACGTGTGATGAAATACAATACACACAGAAAAACTCACATGCCACAAGTACGCTGACAACCCCCCAAATAAAAACCACCAGGAGGAAGGAAGTATTTGTGCTAATATTGAAGTTCCTCTTTTCTCTCTGCACAGCAAGTTGTGCCCTGATAGTCCCATTTACCATCTCTGACCAGACACATTATTTCAGTC